AATATTTAAATCCAGGCATCGTGTTCTTGCTGGCATTCATAGTTCACCTGTAATGGTTTATGAACGTGAAGAATAATTGAATGCTAGTCTTCACACAGAAAACATGTTTTGGGGATTACATGATTCAGAAATCCTATGAACCTCTTTTGGGTGAGTTCTCCTGTTGTCTTTACAATTTGTCTGATACAGGCTCTGTTGATAAAAACAAGAAATTAGCTGTAAGTGGAATGCACATACTACACAGGTAGCTCTGTAATGTAAGTAATACCTCCTGTTTATTTCCATTGAAACTATAACAAAGAGCAAAATAACACTACTTGATAGAGCAAAATCTCATTGTTTTTCAACATAGGCACCACTGCTAGCTATGTATTTTCACCTGTCATAAACAAGAGGAGGCACAGGGAAACATCTCTCTATAACTACCTGAAAGGAGGTTGTAGTGAGCTGGGTGTAGGCCTCTTCTCTCATATAAATAGTGATAAGACTAGAGGGAATGCCCTCAAGTTGCTCCAGGGGAGATTAAGGCTGAATATTAGGAAATACTACATTCCTGGAAGAATGATCAGATGCTGGAATGGGCTGCACAGGGAGGTGGTGGGGTCATGGACCCTGTACATGTTCAAGGAACATTCAGACATTGTTCTGAGGGACATGGTTAAGTGAGAGCTGTTGGGGATAGGAGGACGGTTGGGTGAGATGATCTTATATGTCTTTTCTAAGCTTGGTGATTCTATGATTCTAAGAATCTGCATACCACTCATAAAAATCTGTATCAGTGAAGGTGCCCCACTACTTTTTCAACTGATGAGACATATCACCCTCTCTCTCACTGTGATCACATCCACTGTTTGGTCTCCATAAACTTTCAGCAAGTGTCAATGTCAATAAGTGCCATTTTTTCTACATGGAGGAATTTAATCACATACCTTTGCTTCATCTGTCCTTCCATGTCAAGACACCATTTTTTTCAGACTGCCCCCCCTTATTGCTATCTGCTGTATCACAGCAAAATGTAATGGAATATTGGTGGAAACATTCAGTCTCTACTGACATACCAGTAACATCTGCATCTGGCATCTTAGTCAACATAATAAAATAAGAGGCATTACTTTCAGAACAGCCCTCCTTTATTTGCCTGCTTAAGCCACTCACTGGCTGGTAGCAATCTTGGTTTATGATAATGATCAATGTGAGGACCAAAAGGAAAGATATTATCTTTATGTTAATGGGTCCATCAAAATTGGCAACTGATTCTATGAGGAAGACAACTATATTACTCCGCTCTGGTCCCCAAATGTATAAAACCAAGATTTTTACCTTCTAGTACTCAAGCCTGAATTCCAAGTTGGGGAGAGCTTTTTTGGTGTGTGGAAGTGAACAAGACCAGTGAAACAGCAAGATTTTGAGGGTAAAGTCTTGAGGAACTATATGTGTGTCAGCATCACTGGTTATCCATGAGCTCTTACCCATAGTTACTCTTCAAAAGAGTAGAAGTAGGGAAATGTGAGCCAGTTCACAGCATTTACTCCAGTGGAAAGTGTCATAAGTAATATCCTGAAAGAAACAAAGAAAAGCTATTGGAAATGCTATGCACATTTCATTCATGTTATAATATGAAATTCATGCAGTAATATAAAATTTATGCAGTAATATATTGGATAAAAATTCAGGGGCATAAAGGAAAACTGTTATGGCAATGGATACATTAACAACATCTGGAATAGTTCTCGAATGTATGATGCAGACCACTGTTATCTATTTTGACCATCATTACTAACATGAACAGTATTTCTATCTAAGTAGTTTTACTGAAATCAGTGGGATTTTTGTTTAATGTAAGATGCTGCTCGGCATAAGGTTGGTTCATGATCTGAAACTGATACGTAGAAAAGTTGAATTTACACTAGTATGAAAATCCTTTGTTTGATGAGGTGAAACTGAACAAGAGTACATAATTGCTGAGTGGTATATTATTGAAATTCTATAGTGATTTTTCTGATGTTTCTGTTTTGTCTGTTTTTTATTCAATTATGAATTTGTTCTTCATTTCTGGACAGAGTAATTGATTTTAATTTTGTGTTAATATAAACAAATTCCTTTTGAGTCTATTCTGCTCAATAGAGTTGTAAAATAATCAATATTAACAAACAGGGAAATAGACAAATCCCAGACTAATTAAAAAAAATAATAATAATTAAAAAAAAAAAAGTTAACCATCTGGTATAAGGATATTTAAATTTTGGCTTAATCAATAACATAACTAAAGCTCACAGCCTAGGCACAGCAAGGGCCCAGTCATGTTTGTTAACATGCACCTCATATTTTGCATAGAGTTTTGAAGTAACAATTTTAATTTTGATTTTTTTTTAATGCTTTAATGGATTTGAGTACAATTACTTTAATGCAGTTATTTGTCCATACTATATGTAGGTAAGAACTTCCTTTATTTTCCCCCCCCCCTCTCTGTTTTGGAAAAGAAGGAGTGCAGTGAAGTGATTTGACAATTATTCAGTTTGCATTGTTTCAATTTAATCTTCCTTATGGTAGAAGGATATGGGTTGTACCATCTGATATGCAAGAGTAGGACCATATAATAGTCATACTGTTTATCTAATTAATCAGTAGAAATATATGTGATGAACAGAATTGTTTAATTTACTTATAAGTTTTCTGTAACACAATAGGTAAATTCCAATAAGCCCACTGATTAGTAGGATTTTTCACCAAAGATCCAAATGATAACACATTTGAGATAAACCAGAATTTCATGTTTACATAACGTTATCTTTCTGGTTTATCTTTGAAATTACAACACTTTCTCAGATACTTTTTTCTCACTGTTTTGCCATATAGCTGCTAAATAAAATTATTTTACTCCTACCAAAATTTAAATTCCCAAAGACTTGAGAAAAGGTTGAGATTTTACTCTTTGAAGTTTGAAGATTAATTTAATATTCACAGTACTAATTTATTTAGATTTTTTATTAAAGTGCAAGAAAAGATTGAAATCCAAGATAACATTTTCTAGCTAAATCAGCTATGTATATATATATATATTTTCCACTGTGTTAGAAAAGTTGTTAAAACAGTTTTACATAAAGTTGCCCTCCAAATCAAAGTAGTTTTCCACTTCTGACCAGAAATGAATCAATATGGCTAAATAGACACACAAAAGGAGAAGACAATGATTAGCATCCTTTTAAGAACAAATGCAAGCACAGTACCTTCTACCACAATTAGGATATATTAAGAAAGGGCTTTCTCATTAATTTTAAAAGGTTGGTGTTTTCAAGATTATATGTTACAGTTATGTTAGAAGTTAACTGTATTTGGATGTTTTTTCCTTGGACATACACAGATACCTGCTTGCTGCCCCTGCTCCTCCCAATTATCCACACGCTTGTGTACACAGAAATAAATGAAGGATATCAGTTTCTAATGCACAAACCAATTATAAATGACGGGCAGGAGAAAAAAAGTGTTTAAATTGTTTAAATGATTTTTTTTGTCCTATGAGTCACATGGTAATAAGGACCATTCTAAGAACAGCTAGAGAAATAACATTGCTATGAGGCACTGTATGCATACAAATTATTTCCATTTAAGTAGAATCATAAGAGTCATAGCTCTTCGTCCCCCTCTCTATAAATATAAATTGTACCAGATCCAATGTTAAGTAACTGACTGATCCTTATACAGGAAAAAGTATTGAATATTTGCATGCATCTGAGGCATATGTATGATAGGTAGAGAACCTCAGGTACCTAGCAGGCAGTATATCTCACATCTCTAGCGTAGGCATCTCTGAGGATAGCTCCTCAAATGTTAATTAACACAGATCAGAGGATATCTAAGCTATTATCTAAACTGAGTGTAGAGAATCGACCTCTGGAGCTGTTTCAAATCCATCATGATGTCAATAATCTTCTACGTTCCCTTTCTGCAAAGAAAAGAAAGACAACATACATGATTATTTAGACAGGAAATTAATTTTTTAGGTGTGTACAATGCAACAGCTCAACTCATTCATCCTATTTGTCTCAGTAGGTTTTTTTCAAAATATCCTGAGTTTACACATGTATATGACAGTCTACTATTAAATGTGGAGGTTGGTGGCCCTGCATGTGGCAGTGGGGTGGGAGATTCATGATGCTTGAGATCCCTTCCATCCCTGGCCATTATGTGATTCTGTGACACATTCTATGATGTGTCTGGTAGGGAGAAATTTGAGCATGAACACAACAGTTTTCAAAGCAGTACTGCCCTAGTTCTCTACAGCAATCCAGAAACTGTGATTACATTAAGCACCTAATAATGCATCTTTTCGACATGCATTCATTTCCCTTATGCAACATGCTTAATTTCCCTGGAATATTGCAGTCTTTAAACTTAAAGTCTAATGTTACAAATAGATCCCTTGGACAATCAAGGATAATTATGCTTTCTTGAATAGTTCTGGAAGTCACATTTTCTACTCTGCTATGCTAGAGCTTAAGAAAATGGCAATAGTTACAGTGCAAAATGGGTCAGATACAGCCTGGTTGCAACACTGTTGACATCACTGCCACTATTTTTTTGTTGTTGTTGTTACAAAGGAATATTACTGTTCAGGCAGGGATAGCTTGGAAAGAGTCTGGAACGATGTGGGTGGTAACATCCATAAATAATTAATGATAATTGTGCAACAGTCTGGTCACTTAGGAAAGTTTCATAGATACACAGATTTGCTTTTATATTATCCTGGGCACCTCAGCTCAGTAACATTTGTGCCTAAGAGAAGAATTTAAGCAATCAATATCTGTTTGTCTTATCACAGAATGGTTTCAGAGCATCTCCTTTGAAATGGAAAGAAGTAGACCCAGGGAAATATATCCAACCCATCTTTGAATAGTTACTTCTTGCACCTAGCACAGCTGGAAATAACATATGCTTTCCAGACAGCAATAAAGAGCTACGTTTGAATGAAATAGCTTTGCTCTTTGCAGCAGAGAAACAGATTTTCCAGGCTAAGGAGAGCTCCATGTTGCCAAGGCCAGACTGCTTCCAGTAGCTGATGTGGAACCTTTGAAGCAAGCTCTATTCTCATAGGTAAGAAGTGGTAAGCCAAATAAGGCTGCTATGCTGGATCACTTGATTACAAGGGGGATTTCTGCTAGAACTGGTCTGTGGCCAAGTGACAGAATCCAGTGACATTTGCAAACTAAAAATGTATGGATCAGAAGTATTTCCTTCTGTTGCCAAACAGTGCCTTCAATCACAACTGCTCTGATCTACTGGGGAAACAGAAAACCCTTTGGCTGTGTCACCCTAACAGCTTAGCTTGTGCTCTCAGACTGCAGAATGTGACTCATACTTCTCTGTGTCCATACATAAAGGTCTCCTCAGGCCTGTGTCTTGTGCTTGATACGAAGTCTTCAGGGAAAACTGGGGTAGTATTCACGTTAGACTTCTGGCATTCCACCTAACGTGGAGTTTATCATGGAGACCAGTCCAAAACAGAAGAATTTCTCAACTTGGCTTTGTTTACACGGAAGGCTGTCACATGGACAATACCTTTTTTTTTTCATCTTAAAGACAGCAAATCAAACTGCTTGAAAATAACCTTATCACATACTCTTTTTTTTCTGTTCCAGAAACAACCCAGTAGTGAATGAAAGCAGCATAATTTCACCTCATTAGAATCACAATTTTTTTTATAATCTCACATGGTAAGTTTTTAATGGCTTGTTACTTTAAAATACTTTATATACACTTGTGAGTTTGATCTCTTTTCTGTTCTAATGGTGATCAGGAAGAGCTGATAGTGATCTAACGCAGAGTTAGAAAGAGAAGAAATGAATTGTTAACTGTACAATACCCATTCCTATCTGCTGAGCTAAGTATCCTAAAAGGTATAAGATTTTGTGATGCTTGAATAAGAACCCTATCAGCTGCTTAATGTGAAATGTCACTCCTTAAAGACATAGGTAGGGCAATCAGCACCTGTCACTCCTTGAAACTCTGAAGCTACTAAAAAAAAACTACTAAACCTATATATCTCATTTAAAGGGCCAGGCTTTAGCTTTAAAATTGTCTGAAAGAACTGGCTGATCTGACCATTCATAATTATCTCATAATTATAAAATATGATATTATATTTCATAATTAGTTCACGATTATTTCCCCTAATGGCTTTCTTGCCAAAACTGGGGAGAGATAGAAGAAAAAAGAGAAAAGAAAGGAGATTTGTGTTTCTTCTAGGAAAAAGAATAATAAAAAAGACAAGAAACCATATACAAAATTATATAAACTTTATAAAGCTATTAATGAAAAGTGCTAATGATATATACAGATCTACCAAAGTATCAAAAAATTTCCCTGAGAAGACTGTGTGTGCTAGAAGGTTTCCCATTCAGATTGTCTGATATAACTTTCAACATGTGCTACCTGAAAATATAAAATAGAGCTTCTTTGTACAAGACTAGGATGACTAGATGTCCTGCCTTTGCACTAAGCATCCTATTGGTGATCCTACCCACAGCAGGGGAATTGAACCTAGATAATCTTTGAAGTCCTTCTCAACCCAGGTTATACGATTCTGTGATTCAGTGAAAAGATCTGCCTACTGTTGCTTGGCTAACTTTATTCTCCCTTTTGTGTTGCCTGGGCTGTTGGACAAAATCACTGGCCTTCAGTTAAGGCTTCTAAATCTTATGAAGTCTTATGCAAAAGATTTCAAGAGCAAGACTTTTACTCCCATCCCCTGTCCCCCCTTCACTCCCCCTAAATTCAAATTTTGTTTGACTGAAACTGTCTGAGAACTTTCACTGAATTAATTCTATTGTCAGATCTTCTGACATGACAGAAAATAAAATAATACAACACAGATTAGAATAATCTTTCTTGCCAGAACCAAAATATGTGCTATAGCAATTTCTAATTGAAACGTCTTCACAATTTAGTGATCTTCAATTCACTTGAGTTTTGTTTGCAGATTACAAACCCCTAAACAAAATCTCAGAATGTATCTTTATAGCTTAAATAATATTTTAATTCAGTTTTAAGCACTGTTTTTTTATTCACTGATTTTCAAAGAGCTGCCATTGTTTGACCATTCCATTAACTTTTCATCATTTCCTCAGCTACCTTCTACAAACTAATCTACATTTTTAACTTGCTACAATTCACCCACCTCTTTCCAGCCATTACTACAGAAAGCAGAGTCAGCACCCAGCTATACTTGTCTGCTAATGCGATCTAATCTACTACTACCTGTGAGTTTTGTTGTTTTGTTTGAATAAGGCAGAGGCTAGCCATCAGCTTACATTTTAAGAGACTTCAGCTGATGAGGTATGAACATAGTGAAGTAGAGGTTTCTGAAGTAGCAAAGTGGAAGTTCCATGTTATGGGGAGTAGTCTGAGGGCACATTGAGGCATTTTGGGGTGCAAAGCGTTCTAGGATGCTTTCAAGGGACAATACAGGGTAGGCAGTGCTAATTGGCAGGGGCAAACTTGTACTCGTAAATCTGCTTGTACTTAAGTATCCTGAAAAACTGCATGAAGCCTGTGTCCAGGAGTTGGTTTATATACTAGAATAAATAGACACACGTCCACACGATTCTTACTTCTGTTGCATGAAGATCAGTGTATCAAAAGATATGTGACATGTATCAGGGCTAAAACCTCTTTTTTTTAATAAATTCTTGTTTTTTTCCTTTTCCTATCCTTTTTCTTCTGAAGAAACATTACTCACTCAGTTGCCTGCCTCTGGCCTGCCACTACTACCATATGTCCTGGAGAATTTCCTCTCCATTTACACAAACAAACAAAAAAGCAGTCAGATTTCATGTTAGAGGGAGATGAATATAAACAAATTCCTCTGTTTTCTACAAAATTCAATTTAAAAATGCACATTTCTTTTTTTTTTGTTTGTGTGTGTTTCAAGATATCTCATTTGTTGTATTGACCTACAATGCTAAATGTCATTTCCCTGCTGTATAAACCTGACTCAGTATCATGCTTTATGTCAGCTGAACTGCTTTGGTCAAAACAGTTGAAGCAGTTGCTCATGTTTCCTGGCCTCCTCTACAGTTTCCACTGTCTTATTTTTATCTCTGGCATGTAATTAGAGGATTGATTAAAGAATCTCACTATAATAATAAAAAAAGATTTTAAAGACTTTAATGTGACTCTATGCTGTCATATCAAATGTACAAAAGATAGGTCTTAACAATTGTTCCATGGTCTTTTAATATTAATTTTTACTTTATTTATGCATTTATACATTTAAGCTAATCTTACTAAGGCTTTTTTGTTGTTGCTGCTGGTGTGATTTTATGTACTTATATGGAAATGATTTTACTCAGACTTAAGCTTTCATTAGCTGCACAGGATTCTATTTTTCTTCTTGTGATTTGTCATTAATAAGTTCAGAAGAGACCAGTGAATGGAATGATTGCTCAGCTGATTGTTGCACTGCAGCTCATGTACACTGAAGTGTGAATAATTTAAACTGTGCTGGCTTGTCAGTATAGGATTTGTATGTGGTGTGAGGAGGTTTCAGCTAAATCACTAAGCAGAGAAAAAGCAAAACAAAAAATCTCCAATAAAGATGGATAAAGGGAGAAAAGTAGGGTGCTATTGTATGTACGATGTGAAGAGAGAGGGGAGGATAAGTTCTATCGTTTTCAAGGAACTATCTGTCCTATTTTCAAGGAACAGTTTGCATACTTAGTAACTTTAAAACAAATTGCACCAGACTGAGGCATTGTTCAGGTCTTCCAGAGGAAATGGTTTTCTGAATTTGGTGGCAGTGAAAACATTTTGAGATATGTCTTTCAATAACTTCTCACTTTCTTTTCTTTTGAAATCATTACTTTATATAGTAACAGTTTAATGGAAGATGGTAACAAAAGAATGAGATTCATATTGGGAAAATAATAAATTCAAGGTTAAAAGTCACTAATCTTTCAGTTGTTGTGATTAAAGACTGGGAAGAAAAAGGGTTGGTTTTTTTTTTTTTTTTTTTGCTTATTTCTAACCCCCTCCACTTTAAAAAGGTTGTGAAATCTCCTCAACAGAATAATCAAGTGGAGCAATAGTATCTCTATGTAAATGTTTTTTATTATTATTTGGTATCGATACTTCAGAGAGCCCACAGAACCAAACAGCAGTCCTCTACTTCCTGCAATATTTATTCCTAAATGAAAACATATTGACTGAAACCAAGTCATGTTTTACTTACTACCAGTGATTGCCAGATCTCCAAGAATCATTCCAAGGGTTTCTCTAGATAATGCAGGTAGCACAACTGAAAACAATAATAGAAAAGCATTGTTAATTTGCACAATGAGCTTTTTGATTGTAACACTTTACTTACTTCATAGAAACATAGAATCATAGAATGGCTTGGGTTGGAAGGGATCTCAAGAATCATCAAGTTCTAACCCCCCTTCTGCATGCAGAGCCACCAACCTCCAGATTTAATACTAGACCAGGCTGCCCAGATGCCCATCCAACCTGGCTTGAACACCTCCAGGGATGGGGCATCCACAGCATCTCCGGGCAGCCTGTTCCAGCACCTCACCACTCTCTTGGTAAAGAACTTAACTACTTGCACATGCATTATTTTATTTCTCCTTTCTATTGTGTCAAAGGCTGATATATACTTTGTGCCTTAAAATAGAGACAGCAACCCTGTCCTTGCCAAGTTTTATCACAGGGTCTGAGTTATTTCCAGTTTTCTTTATTTCAGTGGTTAGCCTTCATCAAAGGCCGAACCAGATTTGTAGGTTTGGCTGAGAACTGACCACGATATCTTGACAGCAATAAAATTCAATGGGATGCAATGTCCAGTCCCTCTAATAATGACTAATGATTAAATGCTGTTTTCCCCCAATAGAAGATACACTCCTATGCCACCACACAGCTGATAAAAAAATTGTCTGGGGATAAAAAAGAATAACTATTTCTTCATGTCCAATATTAGGTACTTTATTGCTTACTTGCAATAAAAATACATTACTTAAGTATGCATTTATGGTGAGGATGCTCTCATACTTTAAAAAATCCTTGGGTTTTGAACAAACTGGAAAAGACAACAGAGAAGAGGAGCAAAAGCCATTCGCATTTTCTGATGCAATATCACTACATAATGGCCCCAATAGCCTCTACTGCAAAAATAAAATAAATATGACTTGAAATAATAATTATTCGAGAATGTTCTCAACAAAAATTTCCTTTTAGCATCTCGTATCACACCAGGTATTTTTGTGAAGGGTCATTTCTGCCTGCCTGAAACTCATAATATATGTATATGGTTAAGGAGAGTGTCTGCTCCCTGAGGGATATGGTCAAAGCCCTTTTTCAGTACAACAAACGTTTAATAAAAAATGAAGGAAGTTTTGGAAACCAAGCTGGATCAGGAATGTCATGGAATGTCAGAATGTTCATCCAAGCACAGTTGTCCGAGTGAGGATCATGGTTCAGGATGATGAAAGTAAACATGGAAGAACCATAAGAAAAATGCTGAGACATAGATCTGAGAAAGCAAAAATGGAAATAATGACAAGAAATAAACTTCCATATCGCACCGGTTGATGAGCTGTCAAATTACAGACTTCACTTCCAAGAAGACCCTTGTGTGGGGTAGGGATGGACCTGCACTGGGAGAATGTAGAAACTGCATACCCAAGGAGATTTATACATGTGAAATGGGAGTTGCAGGAAC